CCTGATACGTAAAACCATAGAACTCAAAGAGGGTGTACTTTCTTTTTCACACAACTGTAGTTGCATTGGCTAACTGCAAGAACATACAGTATGTAAAGATATCTAAAATCTGTTATTCTTCCAGGGTCAAATATTTGAAACGTTTAATATGGCAGCCTTGTGGAAGCTGCCGTGCATTTTTATCTGTGAGAACAACAGATACGGAATGGGTACTTCTGTAGAGAGAGCTGCAGCCAGTACAGATTATTACAAAAGAGGAGATTTTATTCCAGGTCTTAGGGTAAGAATAATTTTATTATTCTCCATTTTTAAAAAAAGGAACATTATAGTAATAATACTTTTGAATAAACCTGTGTATTTTGTTTTTTGGCTACTAGGTTGATGGCATGGATGTTCTTGCTGTAAGAGAAGCTACAAAATTTGCTGCTGACCACTGCAGAGCAGGAAAGGTAAATTTGAGTAGAAATGACTATATTGCATGTGTGTGTGTGTGCGTGTGTGCGTGCGCACATGTTTAGGGTAGGCAGAATTTCAGTGTGGACAGATTTATTTTGTTTCAGATATACACAACAGTGCCAAACTAGGTAATACTCTTCTAACCAGTTCTGTAAACTACCCTGTGAGCTCCAAAGTTAGCTTGTAATACAATATGAATAGTGTATGAATAATAGAAATCAACTCAAGGTTTGATTAGACCTAGCAGAGGTCAAAGATACAATATCTTTGAGACTGTGATTATTATTGAACGATTTCTACTTTTTAAAAATAATAAACATGGTGCTTAATAATATGATTAACATTAGCCAATATGGACATCAGTAAGTAAACTCCATATGAATAAAGGAAGAAGTGGTGATACTAAAAAAGGATACAGGTGAATATGTGCTCAAATATAACCAAATAAAGAGTCATATATATAATTAAAGTAATGAATATCCAGTAAACATCAATATTATCAGCGTATGCACTTGCTATAGGTGAAATGAAGGAAGATATTCTGTGCTAGAGATGTTAGTTGCAACATTGGGAAAGAATGCAGATGGGTGATTGGAAGACAAAGTCTGGGGAAATGGGGAACCTAGAATTGCTGGAAGATACAGATTGGGTAAATGCAATGTGAAAGAATTCCCTGTTAACAATACTTGCAAAGCAACTTGCACCTTTACACCTGGACATCACCAGGTTAGCAACATCGCACTAGAATGTTATACTGTGTGTAAGCAAACAGAACCCTTCATAACAGTTCTTGGCAAATCTTTTTAAATTAAGAAGCACAGTGTAAATAGATGTCTGTCCTTCTCTAGGATACAATATGGTTTGAGTGATTTCTTCTTCACTGAGTTTTCAGAGCATTCAGAAAATGGCAATAAGAACTGCAATCAACAATTTAG